TAAGTCACTTCCACTAGAGGGGAAGGGAATTACCATTCTGGGGGGAGATATAACAACAGTGGCCTCTTATCTCACTGTCTGCACCTCTGTGATCATAAGACGCAATCAGTGATCAGAACATAAATCCCCAGTACTTGGAGGACGGGGTCATTTTTGCTCACTCTGGCTCCAGAAATCTATGTACAGGCTGCTCTAGGAACATGTGCACAGCTGCCTGACATTGGGCTGGAAGTGAAAGATACACAGCTGCTACTGTACTAAGAGCTCAAATTAACTACATTCCATTGTCCAAGTCTTCCCCTGAAGTTTCAGGCCTTCAAATAAAGTCCCAAACTCCCAAATTTCGTTAGACATATTCTGACAGTGCGATTGGTGTTCAGGTGAGGAGAGAGATTCCCTGCGCTTTCTATTCTGCCGTCTGCCCAGGATCCTCTCCTTTTCCTTGCTTTTTCGAAAAGTATGTATGGTTGAACAATCTGGCATTTAATTTTCTTCCGTTGTACCTTTATAAAAATTATGTTACAATACACATCATTTTCAGATACTTAAATGTTCTTCATTTAACACTTTAGTTCAAGGACTTTTGTGACACTCTGTTAACAGATGAAATAGCAGACGTCTCTTAGACGTTCATTTCATTCTTTGAAGGACTAGCAAATTGCTTTCCAAATTGTTGCATTAATTCCAAGGGACAGAGATGCATTTCTGTGGCTGCGATGAAGGACGTTGACTATGCCTTTGGATTTTTGCCATAATTGTGTATAGGTTTATTTTGTCATGACAGTGATGGAAACAAAGGACAGGAAGACACCCGATAATCCACAGACTAATGCTATTGTAGACGTCTACAAAGGATGTTCTCTGAAGACAATAAGAAAATGCATATATAATCATTGCTTAAGCAATTCAATGTAAATGAGTTACAGAAAATGAGATTCGTGAAGGTATCTGTTAAACGTACAATTATGTGCATTTTTTTTTCTTTTCTGTGGTCATATTCCTTAGTGTTTGGTGCGTAACACACTTTCCAAAATTTTAGTAAGTTGAAAAAATAAGTAGTTACTATTGCTTATGTGACTATGGGTCAGCTAAGAATCTCTAGCTTTGGCTCTTGCATGTTCCTCTGGTTGACTGTGAGTCAGATAAGCACTTTTGGTCTCTTCTCAAGTGTCCAGGGCCTCACATGGGACAATTAGTCTCTCTATGTGAACTCTCCTCATTCAGCAGGCTCTTTCTAGGGTTGTTCTTTCCACTGGAAAAGTTCTGAGAGAAAGTGGAAATATGCAAAGCTTCTTGAGCCCTGGTTCCAGTACTAGCATATGTTTCCTTTTGTGGAAACTACTGATCAAGCCCAGCACAGATAGAAGTGGTAAGAAACTAGTCACTCTCACTGGGAGACGTTGTGGGCCAATTGCAAGGGATCAGAGTACAGGGAAGAGTTAAGAATTATGACTCTTTTTACAATCTCTGTCACGGTTTTGAAAGATTGATTTTTCCCTGTCTCTATTATCCTAAACGGATTGATAAATCAGCTCATTGCCTTAGCACAATAATCTCATAAAATGTATTTTAAAATGCAAGTCAAGAAAACATCACTGAGTCCACTGATTATGTTTTTGTAAATATTATGAAAATAATTAATTAAAATTTATTTTGCCATTCTTGAAAACCCTAAATTCCCATTAATAATATTCCTACACTCTGTAGTGTGGAATGCTTGCTACTAGCCTGCAACTTGAACATATATCCTGACCCCTATGATTATAGCACACTGTACTATGCATGTTCTTAACTACTGCTGGCAAGCTTAATTTGAGGTTGTCATTCTATTACAACATGCTTTATGTTGTAACAAAAGACTCATGTTTGGAGGACACAAAATGTCTTTTCTTAGCTATAACAGGGTTCTGGAGTAAGGAAAGCTTACGGCAGTTCTACTGACAGAATTTGATTTTTTTTGTTGTTTTGTTCTGTTTTGTTTTTTCTCTTTGTAACATCAAAGTTGATAGAATTTTTCAAATAGTGACAAACATTCCATTTTAAAAGCTCTGGCTTGTGAAGTTCTTATTGTTCATAAAATTTTAAAAAGTTGTTTTGAAAACTTATCAAAATTTACTCGTCAGTTTAATAATGATGCTTTGTCTTACAAGTGTATGAAGAAACCCTATGTTGAAACCCAAGTAGAATTTGGATAATGATGTGCCTCATTAAATAATGATTGTTTAAAATGTCTATATAGATGAATAATGTTCCAAAATACTGTAGATTTCATCTATTTAATTTTCTTTTTTTAACTTTTCAACACTTGTGAATTTGTTTTCTTCAATGGTATTTGTAGTACAGTGTTTTCAGTGCATAACAATTTATGAAAATCCAGTATAGGGCATACAGGCAATATGATTAAATCTGTATTAAATGACATACCTTGAATAACTGAAGTAAGAATGTTTTTAAAGTCGTAAGTATTCTCTTACATTTCTCATTTTAAAAAGTTTCTATTAAATTCCTAAAACAAAAATTGAGTTGGATTTCTGGTTCTAAAGAAACTGGAGTAGGGGAAGTTTTATCTATTTCTTGTACTTAAGTACAGCTTAAGATCCTAGACATCCTATGTAAAACATGTGTACTATGACCTGGAAGGCAGAGATAGAAAGACAGACCAGTCAGTCAACTTAGAACCTGAGGAAAGACATGGTACCAAGGTCTCCAGAATTTCTTTTTTGTCTTGTTATTTCCCAGGTGGCAGAAACTCTGAATCCCTCATTTCTTGGATTTTCTTAAGCAATAAATTATTCTACTTAAACTTCTTTAAGTATTGACTTATTAGCATTAGCAAATTCAGAGTTTTTTTGGTTACTTGATTATTGTTTTGGATTTAGTTTTTATTTGGCTTCTTTGTTTCACTCATGATGTTACATTAAAATCTCTGTGGAGCCCCCAACTGCTGCTTAAAAGTAAACATCATTGGGTGGTTGTGGAATTAAAAATGGTGAGTATGTGAACAAATGACATAAACTGAGACGTCTAGCCATTGGGTTTCTTTTCCCTTTTTCACTTGTCCTTGCTACTGCTTGCCCCTGGGGATGTAAGAATGGTTGCTTATGGCAGTGTAGTGCTAATACCTGTTCCCATCTATAATTATAGAAACCAGGTGTGGAGCTGCCTGAGTGATGGCAGCATATTTTTCTCTAAGAAATGTTCCTACTCTTACATCTCAATAGGGACCTGTGGAACATGTTTTATTTGTTTGTTTTTAATTGGAGAGATTTGATGTATATTTATTATTTCTGAACTAAAACCTGTGGAATTCATCTATAGGGAAAGAGAAATGCAGAAAATGGGATAGGGTTAAGTAATTAGTTCATGGAAAACAAAGAAACTATAAAGGCTTAAATTGTATGTACCTTGAGATACTGTGTGGAGAATTGTACTGCAATTGATATTATTCTCACTTAATATATAATTCTGAATCATGAGATTTATGAATTAAAAAAATAACCCTAGTCATAGGCAGGGTTTCCCAAGGCTGCAATCATGTATCAGCTGGGGTATGTTCTGTTCCTAAGCTCAGGGTCTTTTTCCAAATCCATATAAGTAATTGGCAGAATCCAGTTTTTTGTATTTGTAGGAATAATTTCCTTATTTTTATGTTGCATCAGCTGGTGGCTTCTCTGACCTCCTACAGGCAGCCTTCTGAAGATCTTAGGTATATGTTCTTCCATATACCTAAGGATAAGGTATAGGCATAAGGGTTAGGGTTCCCCTAACAAGACAGCTTACTTCTTCAAAGGAGGAAAATCTTTCCCAGTTTGAGTCTCTGACCCTTTGTAAGACTCCCTTCCTTTGGCCAACTCTGGCTACCCCAAGATAATTTCCCTCAAATTGGTTGACTCAAAATTAACTGATTTGGAAATTATGGCTACCAAATCCCTTTGCATTTGTCCTCTAATGGAAACCCATCACAGAAGTGAGGTCACAAGCTCAACCCACAATCACAAGATCATGGGGAAGGGATCATACAGAGTGTATACTAAGGCATGGGAATCTAGGATCCAGTCCAGAATTATTCCTACCATAGTCCAGAAGCTTATATTTTGGTTTTGAGTTCTCAACATGGTTAAGGTTCAGATTTCTCTATGGAGTTTTTAAAAAAAGTCATATATTAATATTCATAGGCCTCTGTATAAATCTGATTTGGATATATCTGTTGAATCAGATACATTATCTTTAACAAGCTATGCAAACAATTTCTATGCAGCCAGCTGTATGCCTCTGGAACTTCTCCCAATAACCACTGCTCTATTAAATATAACATTTCACCTGCCTATCATTTTAATAAAGTGTTAGAGCATTTTGAAAACTACGATTGAGTTCATGGGAGGACAAATAACATAAATGGGATCATTAAAAATGAAGTGTAAAGGCAGAAACGTCATTCTAGCCTTTGGAAATTGCAATCTGTTGCCAGGCCTTGATGTGTAGAGGCTATCCCCCCTCTCCCTCAGTATAAAACTGAGTTAATAGCTATGTCTCATTAAAAATAATGGCATCAAATCAATAGACTATTCCTCACAAGGAGTGCTTTTAAATAATATTAATAATTTAAACTTGGACTCTAATTCTAAAGGCTTTGGTATTGGCAGCTTATATCTAAATGCTGACTACTGGCAGATAAGTTTTGGGAAGATTACCAAATATGCTTTTGTACTTTTTTTTTTTTTTTTATAAGCCAATTTCCCCAAAATGTGTTCTGCAGAACTCAATCTTATGACAGTAGCCATTTGGGAAATACCATCATGTTATTTTTCCCCTTGGTGAATCACAAGGTTTTGAGTTACTCCTAGAAATTCACAAAGAAATGTGTTGAAAATGTGTATGATATAAACATAAATGGGATGCATGTCTTCCTTATGGATAGAGTGAATAAATTTCAGTGTATAGATTTTATCGCTTCTATTTTGAATGCTCATAGGACTTTTACTTTTGCTTTTTGCATCTAGACTATTCCCCAGAATGTTGAGATTGCCAGAGAAGTGACCTCTGAAAAAGGAAAATATTGCTCTACCTAAATTCAAGTAAGACCATTACTTTTCAAAAAGTCATTGTGAGTAAATTAATGAAAAAAATTCATTTTTCTACATTTCTATTACAAGTTGTTTTCTTCAATATTAGGCTTTATGAAGCCACTTTCCTCTAGAACAATATCATTTTTTTTTTTTTTAATTTCCTGGTGTGGGAAGGGGAGCAACACTCTGAACACAGGTCAAGATTCAGTAGTTAAACTACATTTGGACATATCCTTCCACCATATTTACTTAAACAACCGTAGTAAATGTATGTTGTTCCTTTAATGAGCATCATTCAGAGGAAAAAACAATATAAATTAGGTTTTCTAAAGCTTACTTTTTTAGGTGAGGGGTCCATGACTCCTGATCAGGATGAGAGCTGGTGTCACATACTTTTGTGAACTCTGCAGTCCCAGAGAAAGGATAGATATGTGAACCATACAAGGGAGGGTGGGGCTTGGCTAAATGTTCTAAAATGTTTCACAGCACTAGGGCCTAGAGAACTATCACATTCTCTGCTGTTTCGTCAGAACAAAGGGTGAGAAAGGGTAGTGAAAATTAGTAAAGTAAATCACATTGCCTTCAGAAAGGGAGCTTGAATCAGTATAGGCAAAGCAGGTGGAAGATGAGACTAGGTCTCTGACTTTGGCGCTAGGACAAATATTACATTTAGAAGGATTCACACTCTATTTGCTTGGAAGAGCAGAACCTGGTCACTAAAGTTTAGGACTGAAGTAACTCATTTTATTTTCCTAATAAATCTTCACAGCATTTTTGAGTTCTAATTTCCTGTCATGCAAGGACTTATATTATGGTCTTAGTGAGAATCATGAAACTCATTGTCATCTATTATGTTTAAAGGAACTTTAACACTTAAAAGTGTGTTGTGCATATATTGTTGCATTAAATTATATCTAAATGTAATGTTAAAATGCCAGGAATTCTTGAGTATATACCTGTGCATTATGAAAATCATAGAGTTCTAGGACTAAATGCATCCACACAGATAACCTAGTAGAGGATTTCCCGGACTGGGTTCTCGAGGAGTATGGCAAAGTTCAGAGTCACTTAGGATGATAAACAACTAGATCTAAAGTTGTTCTGGTTACTCAATATCTAAATTCTTTAATAATAAATATTTAGAATGGAACCCATGTAATGTTATATTACTCATAGTAGCACTCAGATAGAGATGGATTGCTAATACATTCACTCTTCTTTCCTCACTGAATCCTGATCCCTAACCACCTGAATGCAGGTAGTTTTTGGCTTCATGTTAAAACACAGATCATTCTTGGGGGCCTGGGTGGCTCAGTGGGTTTAAAAGCCTCTGCCTTCGACTCAGATCATGATCCCAGGACCCTGAGATCGCCCACATCAGGCTCTCTGCTCAGCAGGGATCCTGCTTCCCCCTTCCTCCCCGCCGCCCTCATCTCTGCCTACTTGTGATCTCTGTCAAATAAATAAATAAAATCTTTAAAAAAAAACCCACAAATCATTCTCATCATTTGAATACACTTAGAAAATTCTAAAGCACAGTTTCCAAGGAATCAAAAGGAACACATCCCAGTGCATCAGAAAATTGTATCCAAGGTTTTCCACTGATTTTTCATCACTATACTGTTTTCATAGTTGGACCTGTCCAAAACAATATCAGAGAGAAGCCCAAAAGACAAAAGAGAGGGGAAATAAAAAAAGAAATTATTGAAACAGGAATGGGTGTTGTAGATCCTTGGTTTCTCAACCTCTGCCTTTCCTTACCTCTGAATCCATTCCTCATTCCCCTAAACCCTACAAACCTGACAGACATTACTGTTTCCTGTGATTTTTTGGCTTCCCAGTCCTTTGTTTTGAAGCCCATGTAGAAGCATTAACTTAAACAGAGATAGAGAGTGAAACATAGAAGTGAGAATTCCCAGAATTACACTGTGTTAGCCAGAAATGGAAAAGTGATTACTGTGCAAGAGAGATCATTCATTACTAACTTAGGTTTCCCAGTGTCAGGTGTTGCCGTCTGTGCTTTCACTTCACCATCGTGCAAAGCTAAGTCTACATGATTTCAAAGTATCATACACTGTCAATGCTGTTTGAAACCCAGAAAGGTACATATAAATGAAAGCAGGGAGAAAGGCAGTCATAAGAAGAGTAATGGAAATTCATTTGAGGGTGGCTATTCTCATCCTTAAAACACCCCACAAAGAATAGTGAATATTTTATTTAAAAAATATCTCCAGATGCATTTCAAACATCTCTCTATTGTCTTTGGTATATATCTTTGACTCCCATATTTGTTTTAGTTTAACATACTTTATTGATAAGCAACATGTCTGAATTGATAATGCTTTTTTTTGGATAATGCTTTTTTTTTTGAAGATTTTTTAAAATTTATTTGACAGAAAAAGAGAGAAAGAGAGAGTTACCATGAGTGGGGGGAGTGGCAGGCAGAGGGAGAAGCACACTCCCACTGAGCAGGGAGCCAGATGTGAGGCCTTGATCCCAAGACCCCAGGATCAAGACTTGAGCTGAAGGCAAATGCCCAACAGACTGAGCCCCACCAGGTGCCCCTGAATTGATACTCTTTTGAGACAGGTTGAGTAAAGAAGAGAAGTACTAGACATGGTCTAATAACACATAGCCTACCCACACTGCCTATATTCTGATACTTGGTGCATACGAAATATGTCAGAACATGTCTCAACATATACTGTACTGCTTTCCTTTTCCTTACAGTTTCTGACCTGACCTGTAGAATTTTACTTGTGCTTCCAGTGTTTTACTCATGCTTATATTTGTACAAATTTAAAGGTAAACTGGCTTCATGTTCGAATGGAAAATAGCCCCATGAGCAGGAGCAAACTAGATGTCCGCCGGGTGAGCAGGTATCCCAGCCTGCTCACCTGTCCCTACTTTCTGCTGACTGCCATCTTTACTTGGCTAAAGGGATTTTCCTGGGTTTTTTCTATTGCCAGAACAAGATTACTGTAATATAAATACTTAATATTTGGATGTGTAGAGTTTTTTCTATTACTGCTTCTCTATGCTTTGAGGATATTTGCGGCATCTGACATTGTACTTAGATTGGTCTTCCTGTGGTCTGTCCCCTAGTGTTACCACAGCATCTGCTAGGGGGTGCAACTTCTGTAGACCCATTTGCCACCAGGATTGTTATTCAGATCCCCAGTCCTTTCAGGCGTGCTTGTGAGTTTAGTCATTGGCTTCAATGGTGAAACATATCTATTTTTGGTTTTGCTAGCTCTCTTTGTCCTGGGTAAAGCGACACAATTATCAAACACAAAGAAGCTTAGCCTTGAGCACAAAACTAGCTTTACATTCTAGGCAACTTTCTTAATGTTTTCTGACTGAGCTTCACTCCCCATCTACCTTGTTTAGAGGAATATGACTGAGTAAGTTGCCTGTGGGGGTTGCAGCTCCTGGTCGAGATACAAACACCGGTACAAAGAGCAATACTGTTCCCTGCTGACTTGTGTTTTAGTTTTTGCTTATTGTCTGTTTCCATGAGAGTTTGAGGAGAAAACTATAGTTACTCTTTGTGACCCCAGGAGGTACCATCATGCCAAGGTGTATAGGGTCCCAATAAATATTTCAAAAAAAGTAATAGAGTGATGAAAATATTTTTGGAGCTGTAGTCTGTGCATTTAATTTATTCATTTTAGAGAGAGTGTATATGAAAGTGCGGGGAGGAGCAGGGGGAGAGAGAAAAAATCTTAAGCAGACTCCCTGTTGAGCACAAAGCCCACTGTGGGACTCTATCTCATGACCCTGAGATCATGACCTGTGCTAAAAATCAGGTGTTGGCCATTTGACTCATTGAGCCACCCAGGTGTCCCTGCATTCTATGCATTGTAGACATTCTCTCATGGTTGAAAAAAGAATGGCTAAATTAAAAATATATTACATATATAAAATTAATATAAAATAATATATATGTATATATATGTATGTGTATATACACACATACATATATTTATGTATATAAATATATAAATACACACACACACACACACACACACACACATATTACTCTGATTCCTCTCCTTTCTATTTCCTAGTCAGTGTGTGTAAATTTCTGGTAGCTCTTGGTATTGCTTTCTATCATGGGCAGATTAATGTAGGTTGCTTTAATCTTGATAATTCCATTCCGTCTCCCTCTATTCTGGAGTATTCTCAGTGAAGAGAAGCAAGGATAATTCTGGCTGGATGAAGACTATTGGCAGCCTCTCAAGATTCAAAGTATATTCTCATGTCTGTGTCTGGCTGTGAAGAAGATTCACAAACTCTTCAGGTTACCATCAGATACTTTGGTGATAAAGAAAACAACAAAAGTTCTAAAGAAATCTCATAAATATTATCCCTTTAAATGTTAGGCATTGTATCAAAGCTACAGAGCAGAACTGGAGAAATGCTGGAGCTTGGCAACTAAAATGACGCTCAGATACAGGTTGTGCCCAGCAGAAGTACAAGGGATAATAGGTTCACTAGGCAAACATGGATCAATGAAATGAGATCAGGGATGACTTTGTGGGAGGGAGAAGTGTGTACTCAGAGAAGGCCTTGCACACAGAAAAGCCTTACTTTTGATCCGATTTACATTAAGTTCTCAAGATCTATAGGTTTTTTTCAAAAACACAGTGTCATGTACCTATTGTTAGAGTATCATACAGAGGAGTTTCACAACCCAACAGTATTCCCTGTGCTTGGCCTGTTTAGCCCTCCTCCTTTCCTTCTGAACTCCTAGAAATGATTTGTTCTGTTTTAAATTGTCTCTAGAATTTTGCCTTTTCCCAGACGTCATGTAACAGGAATCATACAGTGTGTAGCCTTTTCAGCCTGGCTTCTTTCACTTAACAATATTCATTTAAGAGTCTGTGTGTGTGTGTGTGTGTGTGACTTCCTTGGAACTTTCTTTTTATCTGAATAGTATGTCATTCTATAGAGGTCCCACAGTTTGTTTATTCATTTACCTACTTAAGGAAATTATGAAAAAATCC